ACTTGTGGAATTATATAAAAAAAAAAAGCACAAAAGAAGGTAAACCAAAAATTGGACCTGTGCAATATCCACGCTTCAAGTCCAAAAGGCTATTGTGTGAGGGGTTGTGTTAGAGAATAATATAAATAATTAAAAAGGCCCTCACCTAACACCTTAAGATTTTGGGTTGAAGTGGTTCTTTACAGGTATCCCCATTTGTCTCTGCCAATCAAAACATTCAGCCTTAAATCCTCTATCTGTAGAGCATCCCAATCCCACAAAGTTACAAAGTATCTCGCGGAGTCACAATCCTGCCACACTCATTTTAAAGATCTAGACAGTAATTGGACCAGGTTCAATCGTGTGTGATTTAACCCGATGCTTATGGAATTGATCAACATTAAAATTGAATTTTTATAAAATAATACGTGTCATTATATGTATGTATTATCAGTTTTATCACAATATAGAATTAGTTATTAAAAGATATAATATATCATATTTTTATTATCAAAACAGTCTTTAAAATTAAATCAAATTAATCTTAAAAGAATGAAAGTATTAGTATTAATTATTATTAAAAGATTAATTTGATGTCGTTGATAAATGGAAGAGCAATGTATATTTTGTTAAAGTTCATAATAAGATGTGTGAATAAAATACATATTCAGATGTAAAATATTTTTGTGTGATTCAAATTGTTGCTGCCAAGTTTGTCTAGTCTTAACGTGTTTGGTTTGGTGTAGTGTGAAACGGGTTTAAAATATTGAACAAATTTAGTCAAAATGTGAAAAATAATAGCATGCTCAAAGAAATACTGATGTTATATCATTTCTTTGTTTAAAGTAAGGGAAAATATTTTTTCATGTGGTAGAATAATTATTTTTTTCTACAAGTGATTTTTTGATTTTCGTCCAACACTTTTTTTTTTAATTTTTAATAGATATGGGTTCCACACAAAATGTGTCTATAACATGAGAAAATTTTCTTTTATTGCATGACATCCTTAAAATAAGGGATTTATTATTCTTATGTTATATAAGATAAAATCTATCTCCTATACATACAAATTTAAGATAGGTCTCACGTATCCCCATTTGTCTCGGCCAATCAAAACATTCAGCCTTAAATCCTCTATTTGTAGAGCATCTCAATCCCACAAAGTTATAAAGTATCTCGCGGAGTCACAATCCTGCAACACCCATTTTAAAGATCTAGACAGTAATTGGACCAGGTTCAATCGTGTGTGATTTAACCCAATCCTTATTGAATTGATCAACATTAAAATTGAATTTTTATAAAATAATACGTGTCATTATATGTATGTATTATCAGTTTTATCAAAATATAGAATTAGTTATTAAAAGATATAATATATCATATTTTTATTATCAAAATAGTCTTTAAAATTAAATCAAATTAATCTTAAAAGAATGAAAGTATTAGTATTAATTATTATTAAAAGATTAATTTGATGTCGTTGATAAATGGAAGAGCAATGTATATTTTGTTGAAGTTCATAATAATATGTGTGAATAAAATACATATTCAGATGTAAAATATTTTTGTGCGATTCAAATTGAACAAATTGTTGCTGCCAAGTTTGTCTAGTCTTAACGTGTTTGGTTTGGTGTAGTGTGAAACGGGTTTAAAATATTGAACAAATTTAGTCAAAATGTGAAAAATAATAGCATGCTCAAAGAAATACTGATGTTATATCATTTCTTTGTTTAAAGTAAGGGAAAATATTTTCTCATGTGGTAGAATAATTATTTTTTTCTACAAGTGATTTTTTGATTTTCGTCCAACACTTTTTTATTTTATTTTTAATAGATATGGATTCCACATAAAATGTGTCTATTGTATGAGAAAATTTTCTTTTATTGCATGACATCCTTAAAATAAGGGATTTATTATTCTTATGTTACATAAGATAAAATCTATCTCTTATACATACAAATTTAAGATGGGTCTCACTTTACTTTTTTTTCTCCCTCCTTAAAGTGGACCCCACCTGCACAAATGAATCTGTAGGAGATAATACTTATTTTTTTTTGGAAACTGATCCTAATTACTTCTTTGAGGCGAATCAGAACCCCCTGGTATCCCTACAGGTTCGACTCTTTGAGCCGTCAATTAGATGGTTACTACCAATTAATTTCATCGTTAGATCAATTATGTTGATTCAACAGTTATATTTATTTTCATCTTTGTATGGTTATGATTCCACATATTTAATATTTTATTTATTTTCACCATTGTATGGTTATGATTTCCCATATTTAATGCTTCTAAATATGGGAAATCATAACTAATACAAAGATAAAAATAAATATAACCGTTGGATCAACATAATCGATCTAATAGTGAAATTGATTGATAGTAACATTGATAACCATAATTGGTTATAACAATTTCTATCCCTAATAATAATAATATTATTATTATTTTTTATACTATATTATTATTACTTGAAATTAAAAGAGAGCAGCTAGCCCACTCCCGTGTGATGTAATCCTGTGCATTAACCCAACTAAATTAGACATCAAAAGAATTCAAAATCTAAAATAACATAAAGTTCTTAAAGGGAACCATTAATATCACATTTATATATCAATCAATAATGTATTAACTTACAGAAGTATAAGTTTATATTTAATGTGATGATAGTTTTAGTTGTTTGATATGATTATCATATAGTATAAGTTTATACAACAAAATCCCTCATATCGAAATAATATATAATTTAATCAGGCCTAAAGAGATAAGATTAGGCCTGATAAAGAGATAATTTATTAACATCATTGACAATTGCAATTCTCAAGAATTAATATATTATTTTAATATTAATATATTAAAATAAAAATAATTTTTTAATATATTAATTTTTAAAAATATTAGAGATTTTTATTTTTTAAAAATTAATATATTTTTTGAACACGCTAATTAATAAATTTTTAAAAATTAATATCATATGACATATTTAGAAGAATTATATAAATTATTTATTAAATTGAGTTTAAAATAAGCGAAACTCAACTTAGTTGACTTATTAAATTAGAATTCAAATTCACACGAGTGATTAGGTAGACTGCCTTGCAAAGCACGACTCGTGTGAATTCGAATTTAAAATTATTCAGAGTAACGTGTTGAAAGTCAGATGAGGCTAGCAATACATGGAAGCTGGAAAGTGTGCTTAATGCTGAACAAGACAAAAAAAACATTCCATAAAGAAATTTAGGAATCATTTTGCATCCTAAGGTTTGAGTTTTTTTTTTTCTTAAAAATATTTATTAGTTATAATTTTGGCTAAAAAGCAGTAAAGTGAAGATTTATATGATTTAATACTTTTAGAATCTTGTGAATACTTAATAGAACAAAACAAATATAATAAAAGCTTACTTGATCGAAAAATAAAACAAATATTATTCACGATCTTACATGTTTATATACATGCACAACATATAATTTACTAATAAAATTAATTTTTACAATGACATTAGATCTGATTGAATATTATTCTTATTGAATATTAAATTTCACATATTAATTTTTAAAAATTTCTTGCGGGTACAATCATTTGCAGCTTCAAAAATCCTTTTGCCATGGAAGTAATTAAAAAAAATTATATTAATTTTTTGAGCTTCGTGAAAAAAATATTCTGCTAAAGGAAAATTAATTTAATAAAACAAAGAGAGTAATATTTGTATTGTTCCAAATCCACAAATTAATGCATAGGTGGTTAACAAATAATAAAAATGATGAGTAGATTATCCTCTACACAAATAATTCTATGACTAGCCAACTACCGTAATTTTAATTATTTAGACTAGCAAAATTGCTGATAGAATTTAAGAAGAAAATAAATTAAAAATCAAAGTAAGCAAATAAACAAAAGTAATGGAAATTCGGTACAACCACCTATTATGATAAAAGTCAATTACTTTTAATGATGTTTTATTACGAACTTGAAGGTGACCCATTGAGTTACATTACTATCTTGAATGTAACACATTCTATTGTAATTTAGTTCTATCTCTTTTGAATTCTAAAAAAAAAATACTTACTTTCATGGCATTACAATAATTGGAAATTCTCAAGTTTTATAAAATTCATTGACTTTTTAAGGGATGAAACCTACTACTAGGTTATATTCCTAAATTTAATTTCTCGAATTTCTAAAATTAAACTTCATCTTTTCATCATTCACCTAATACCTTGATGTTGAAAATTTAAATGTGGATAATAGAATTCCACGTTAATAAAAAAATAGTTAAATAAAGACCATATGACTTAGAAGACTTATACACTCGTTTTCTCAAGTTTTGAGTAATAATATGAAGTTAGAGTGTTAGACTCACAAATTTAATTTTTTTTTTTTTTAACTATAATATAACTTGATTAGGTACATAGTTGTTAAAGTCAATCTTGTACATAACCATTCATCAATTCAATTTGTTTAATTAATTAGGAGTACCAGTAAGAAACTAACTTGGGAAACAAACAAACAATGAAATAAATAAAGGGAAAAGTGTCTATACATTTAAATTACACAACTTACATCCTTTCACTCTCACAAAGAGGTGGGACCCACAACTTTATTTTTTTGTCAACTCTCTCTCCTCCTTTATCTATCTCTTTCTCTCTCTTAAAATGACACAACTTTACATCCTTCAAAATTATACACACTTTTCCCATAAAGAAAACCAAAATATGCTACATGACTTTAGGACCATCACCCCTCGTTTTTTTTAATATGTCTCAGTCTACAACACGCTTACACAACTTAACCTCCATATATATATATATATGGATATGCTATAGTGCTTCCTCTCTACAATCCTCAATCACCACACTCTCCTCTCTCTCTTTTGGCTCCAAATTTCCAAGCTTTTATTCTTCTTGATCTGCTTGGAAATTGGAGCTTCATCACATCACCACCACCATCTCTCATGGCACTTTCCACCATGACCAGCAGCCACCTTATGGTCCCACACCGACCCGGCATGAACCGGTTCAACATGGTTCGAGCCCAACAGCATGTGGTTCTTGATAACCCAAAAACCAAGAACCCCAACAGGGTTACCCGTTTAGCAGAATCCCTTTCACACGTCCTTCACCTTCACATTGATCCCCCTTCACGCGCCTTCAACTTGGACTTGTTAAATGATCATGAAGAGAAGCATTCAACCCCAACCATGTCTCCAAGAGAAAACATATCAGAAAAATGGAACGAAATTCAAGAATGTTCCGATTGGGAGAACCTTCTAGACCCTCTTCACCCGTGGTTGCGTAGAGAAATTGTCAAGTACGGAGAATTTGCACAAGCAACCTACGATGCCTTTGACTATGATTCTTTCTCGGAGTATTGTGGGAGTTGTCGTTACAACCGAAACAAGCTATTCGAGAAATTGGGGCTTATTAGAAACGGTTACACCGTGACTAGGTACATATATGCCATGTCACACATAGAGCTACCACGTTGGCTCGAGAGGTCACATGTTGCTGACACGTGGAGCAAAGATTCGAATTGGATGGGATTTGTGGCTGTTAGTGACGATGAAGAGACACGTAGGATTGGGAGGAGGGACATTGTGGTGGCGTGGCGTGGCACTGTGGCACCATGTGAGTGGTACGAGGATTTTCAAAGGAAGTTGGACCCAATTGGTCACGGGGATGCAAAAGTTGAACATGGGTTTCTAAGCATTTACACCTCCAAGAGTGACAACACAAGGTACAACAAGTCAAGTGCCTCAAATCAAGTCATGAAGGAAGTGACAAAATTGGTGAATTTTTATAAGGAAAAAGGTGAGCAAGTTAGCCTTACAATCACAGGGCATAGCCTAGGAGGTGCTTTGGCATTGCTAAATGCTTACGAAGCAAAAGCTACAATTCCAGACCTTCCAATAAATGTGATTTCTTTTGGGGCACCAAGAGTTGGGAACATTGCCTTCAAAGATGAATTGCATAAAATGGGGGTGAAAACGCTACGTGTTGTGGTGAAACAAGATTGGGTGCCAAAAATGCCAGGGCTTGTGTTCAATGAGAGCTTCAAAGTGTTTGATGAAATTACAGGGTTGGAATGGGTTTATACGCATGTTGGGGATGAGTTAAAGCTTGATGTTCGTTCATCTCCTTATCTTAAAGGTGGGATGAACTTGCCAGGGTTTCATAGCTTGGAGACATACCTTCATCTTATAGATGGGTACTTACACTCTGAGACACCGTTCAGGTCAGAAGCTAGGAGGGATATTGCACTAGTTAACAAGTCATGTGCTATGTTAGCTGATGAACTCAGAATCCCACATTGTTGGTACCAATTGGCCAACAAAGGATTGGTTTGTAATGCTCATGGAAGATGGGTTAAGCCCAAAAGAGACCCTGATGATATACCTTCACATACTAGCGAAGTATGTCACAATGATCTTGCAGCTGAAATGCAGACATATATGATGAGTTTGGTCTCTCCTTAAAGATAAACGTGTAAATTTAAGAAAGAATTTTACTTGAAAATTTTGTGCCCGAATTTTAAGGGGATACCAAACGGGCTTGTAGTATAATTAATTAGACCACTGTGTATTGGATGAATTTTGGACTCTCCTGTAATGAAAACTAGGCTCTTGAAAAGTTGAATTGAAATTGAGCAAATTTCTGTTTTCGCTTTTATTATACACGGTAACTATACGACATCTATTACCCCTCACATGCAATTCACATAAGAGCGAGCAAGAATACGTTAAGGTTCCCCCAATTGTGGATCCGGCCTTCACATGTTTTGTTTTTGAGAAAATTATTTGTTTGATGTAATGTTTTTAAAAGTGGATTAGTCATTAAACCGGTAAAGACATTGGTTTATGATTTATTGATAAGATCATAAGTAAATCCTGATTAAACAATGATATATATATATATATATATATATATATATATATATATATATATTTGTAATATTATATAATGGGGAGAGATTTTTTGATTTCGGTGTAAGAATAAAAAAATTTACTTTTCATTTAAATTTCAATTGTTAGAAAATAATAATTAATTAATAAGTATTATTTAATAAATTTCAATAGTTAGATGTATGAAGATAACGGTTAAGATAGACACTAAGACTTCTTATTTTTACATTGGAGTTAAAAGATCTTTTCTTATATATAATACATAAAGTAGTAAATATGACTATATATTATATGTCCTACAAGTTAAAATTAATCAATAATAAGAGGCAAAATAATAATCATCTAACAAATACCACACGAACTAAAGCAAAAATAAGGATCATCATTATATTGCTCAATAGCTCATAGTCTCAAGTTATACAGTGAGTGAAACAAACAGAAAACTTAGGCCCCGTTTGATAGTGAGGATATAGAGAATAGTTTATCATAGCTTGTTCTTTATCTATTGTTTGGTAAACCAATTTGATATGATATGATAAACTTAAAGGTTATTGTATCCTGTCCACAGGAGGATGAGTTATGCCAAAGGGGGACTTGGGTTAGGAATAGATAGGATAGAATAGCAAATGCCACATCTCTCTCATCCCAAATGTAGACATATGCTCTTCTCCTACGAACTTTGTTAGGCAGGTGAGGATTAGCCCTTGCCACCAACCAATCATCACCACCGCAGCCCAACAGCCACCTCTACCACACACTATTGCCACTACTAGCCATCAATGTTACCATGAGCTACCAGCCACCACCATCACTGGATACTACTACCCAACCATTATCGCCACCATAATTGCCACCATGTTAGGAATATGACTTCCATACTTAAGAAGGGGAATGAAGTGAGTATCATAAATTTTTTACAAAAGTCTCATTCTTGTTTTTAAATTATCATTTTAAGCAAACTTTGATATATGAAAACTTCATCAATACATTCAAACAATTCATAACATATTATGTATCACAACTATAGAACATATACTAGAATATACAAGATATCAAAGAAGCAATTAAAGTGCTATAATAAATGAGTTAAGGGTTTAGAAGATTGTAAACATAATTTATCCTGGTTCGGCCACCTCCACTTGTGATCTACATCCAAATTGAAGCTACTTAATCAAACTTTTCACTTATGGTCAAGCTGTTCACGGGTGCTTGACAAACCTGTACAATCACTAAGTTTACGAGTACTTGGTAACCTTACAATTGTCTCCAAATTTTTCTAGGTATTTCGCTAACTTTCAAATCCAATGTGTCTCACAACCCTCAATCAATGAAGATGCAAAGAAATGATGTGTTTGACAATGGATAAGCACTTTCAAAGTGCAGATTATACAACTTGAAGAACTAGGTGGGTATATGGCTTAAAGCAAATAAATGACCTCAAAAATCACTAATCAAGTATGGATCTAATCAATGAGTGTAAAGATGTTAGGTGCAGGAGTTAAGACTCAATGAAAATACAATTGCATAGCCTTTAGACTTTAGAGCCGTTACAAGTGTGTTTTTATACCATTCCAGCAAAATATAGTTGTTTATAGTCGTTGGCATCATTTTTGGAAATAATTTATCTGGATAAATAAAAGAAAATATTCGGATAAATTCATCCCGTCAATTTATCCAAATATTTCAACTATTTATCCGAATAGATACTATTTATCCAAATATTTTGCTCATTTATCCAGATAATTCATGGCAAATGAACACAATGCATTATACATCTGATTTCTCATGAACCAAATGGAATTGTAACATCTTGGACACATTTAAATAGTTCATTTAAGACTTTTGGTGACCCAAAAACATGTTACATCCTTTTAAATCAATTTTTGAGGTATCAATTGGATCATTTCATACACTTTTTGAATATAGAATCTCAATAAGTGATTTTTCTTGATCCAAAATTGTTTCTAACAACGTGAGCAAGTGTAAGTGAGCTATGGGTGAATGCCTATCAATTCAAATCATATTAAATTCATTAAAATCCATTTTTGACATATTAAACCATGAATATCATGCACTTTTTTACTACGCAATACTATATGGGAAATACTACTCTTATTTTACATGAGATAGTTATCTCATGTTCTCTCACTTCAAAAATATCATCCCCTGTTTTTTTCTTTAATGGTGGGCCCCACCTGACTTCTTTCTATAGCATGAGAGAACTACTCTCATGTAAAATGAGAGTAATATTTTCTATACTATATATGCTTGAGCTCATGCAATGTTAGTTACCATATATCCTATTAATCATATTCTAGATCCTAAAATAATATTCTAATGAGTGGTTGGACTTAGCTCCATGTTTGCACACTTTGGTGCTTGTGTACTTTGACTTATATTGCCTTGTGACTAGTGGCGGAGCCACGTTGTTCCCAGTTGGGGCCTTGGCCCTAGCTAATTTTTAAAATATAGCCACATTTTGGACGTGGGTAAATAACTGTGGCAAAGTTAAAGAGATAAAATTTAATAATTGGCACTAGCTAAATTTTTTTGGCCCTACCTAGTTATTCTTGCTGGCTCCGCCAATGCTTGTGACATGAGTGGATTACCTTTTGATTTCCTTTTACATTTAGCTTGTTGTTTTGTTCTTTAATAAGTTCCTCCAAGCTTGTTTGTTATCACCAAAACCATGATGATGTGGCACCATCAAAGACATCAATCTTGAAAGCATTGGATCCACATCTACTCTTTGATTTCATACACCGATCATTGCTGGTGCCACCGCTGCCACTTCCTTTGGCGACCCCTAGCTATCACCACAACACCAACCACCACCAACACCAATCAGACACCACCGCCGCCCATCAACCTCCTCTACCACCCACTATTGCCACTACTAGCCATCAACGTTACCATGAACTACCAGCCACCACCGTTACTAGATAATACTACCCTCATCATTATTGTCACACCATAGTTGCCATTGCTCACTGTTGGGCCGTCGCCACCACCGCTTCCTTCAGCCACCCCAAGTTATCACCACAACACCAACCACCGCCACCACCACCAATTAGACACCACCTTAAGTCGCCGCCGCCGCTGCCATTAATCAGCCACCATGATAGCCACTTGTCATTGCTGGTGCACCCACCCCATCGCACCACTATTGTCGTCGTCGCCACTGCCATCCCCAACCACCAAGCACCAACTATCACCACCCATTACCACAAATCACCACTACTACCACTTCAATTGTCCATCTTATCACCACCACCGCCTCAGCTACTATCACTATTTACCAGCCACTAATATTTATAATCAATTTAAAACTTCATTTTTTAAATTTATTTGGTGAAGACATAATTTTTGTTATTTTAAAAAAAAAATTATAAGCTATTTATATATTTAGTATAATTTATTTAAAATTATGACTTTTAATTATTTTAATAATTTAAAATAAAAATTAATATATAAATAAATCAAAAGAAAGCAATTTAAAAATCATATTTTATTTATATAATTTGCATCAAATACTTAAGAGGATAACATTATCCTGTTAAGCTGTATATTTAATATACATCAAACACATGATATGCGCTTATCAACCCATATCATTTCCTATTTTTATTTTGCTTTCATATCATTTCCATTCATTTATACTTGTAAGTTCCATATAAGATAATAAGTACAATTCAAACTTACAACATATATAAAACTTATCCGGAGACAAATCATCTCATTACTTGCTTACAATTTTTCTTAAAAAAAAAAAAAAAAAACCTTGTTCACCCCCGATTTTTTGTAACCAATTTAGGGCCGAATATTTGCTTAGATGATTTTATGGGCTAAATCTACTGCACACCTGCTCAGTTAGTTTTTCGATCATTTCAATATTTAGAACAGCCAAATGGCGATGGGAACATGTAATAACAGATTCACAATACAAAAAGAACAGCAAATTGTTGATGTAGCAAAACAGAGTTTACTGTTAGCTTCTGAACGGATCACATATTCCCAGGAAAAAAAAATTATGCAATTCTGTTTGTGCTTCTCATTGTCTAGTATTTGATCGCTTGCAAACTGAAGGATTGTTGCTTGTCTCAGCCCTCCTTTTCTGAAAAAGTTAAACGGAAAGAAAATAGGATTTTAGTTTAATTCAAGTTGCACATAAATAGCCTTTATTATTTCAACACATGAGTGCAATTACTGTCGTTTGAACTTTGAAATGCACCCAAGAACAAATAATGTATCCAAATTTGCCTAAAAATCTGGCATGTGTCTTCATCATGCAGCATCAAATTGCATAAATTTAAACAAGTTCTACATAATATTTAGTTTGTATAAAAAATTGGTTGAGTTAATTTTATACCAAATATTGTGTTGAATCATTTTTCAAATTTGCATAATTTTTTGAATTTCAATTTAAAAGAAGAAACAAAGGAAAAGAGAATAAGGAAAAAAAATCATTTAAAAAAAAACTAATTTTTCTTCCAACAATAAGGACACTGATTCTGTTACTTTCTTTGTTTCCTTATTCACTCTCCCATCCCAACTATCAAAAGTTCCATGTTGACAAGCACTATGGAAATATGGAAATATTGACAACATATACATGGATTTGCGAAGAATTAAGCAGTTGTATTATACACAGTTAGAATATAGTAGTTTTATTATATTCATATGCTACATCTAATTGGGGAACCACATTTCAATTCGTCATCAGATTCAAAAGAATCAAAACAAAATCTTTTGTAGTTGGCCGAGAGACCATGATTGCTCTAATGCTCTCTATGGCTAGGAAAATTTAAAACTAAAATCAACCAATCCTCCTACCACTTTGAATTTTGCGAAGATTTTTCTGAGGGGATTGTCATGGATTTGTGTTTCAAAATAGCTGGTCCGCTACTAGTTGGTGCTCTTTACCAAACTGTTATTCAATGGTCAACCATTATTTTTGTGTGTAACAAGCCAAATGGTTGACTATTGACAAACAGTTCTGTGAAGTTCACCATCAAAAATTGAACTTAAAAGTGTATATATTTATAAAATATGAGGGGTTTTGTGTAAAAAAATAAAATAATAATAAAAACCAGAGTGTAGGAATGGTGAAAATCTTTGTATGCATCTTTATCCTAGCATGAGAGGTTTTGTATAACAAATGCAAAATAGAGGGGAGGTTGGAGTAATTTAGTAATTAAAAAAAATAACATTCAATTTAATGTAAGACACAATGCATAAAAGTGGAAAGAAGGATTGAGAGCAAACCTTGTCTAGTTGATTCTTCAATTGCAATGGCTGTGAATCATGCTGTCTAATTCTATTGTTTTCTACACAACTTCCATCTTTTACTCGATGTCGTTTGTGCTTCCTATACTTTTCACCATTTCTATAGATATCTTTGTCCTTTCTGTTCTTTCTCTCATTCTCTCTAGGTTGGTTCTCCAACTTTGGCGCTGCATTTGGTAGCCCCTTCTGGGCCTGTTTACAACATATTCGCATGACACATTTTTTTAACATAGCAATCATAGAATTATTTAGTTTTCTTTAACGTTAAGAAAAGGATCAAATGCAGCCAGGCAATAAGATTAAGAATCTTACAGAAGAAAGGTGGATAGGATCCATTTCCCTCACATGGAAAGCTTCACTTAGTACACCTAAGTCAAAAGGACGCAAGCAAGCTTTATTCTCACTCATGGAGGTGTCCCTACAGAGCTGATCCAGTTCCATTCCTTCTCCCTTCTTGATTTTTGTGTCACCAACCACATTCTGAAGATAATGTGTCTCCGAAATTGACAGCGGAAGTGACCTCTTGCAGAAGAATTCATAGTATGGCCAAAGCCTATATTGATTTATGAGATCACGAGCACCTCCAAGTTCTCTATTGCCTAATTCCAAGAAACAACCTTACTAAACAAAATATACTGAAAGAAATAAGAACTTCATGCATTGATTCCAAGTTTTTTTAATAAAAATTAAAAAAATCAAAAACTGAAGAGCAATCTAAAACAACGTCCCGATAGAAATGAATCAGCAACACCTAATAACAGGGAATGCATGTGACAATTTAAATAGTAAATCTGATAGAAGTGAGGATCTCCAGAGGCCCAATGAAGGGATTGACAGAGGAAAAGCTTTGGTAAAGGCCCCTGCAGAAAGTGTTGAGCTTAATTAAACCTTTAGTTTAGGCTTCCATGATTCCAGAAAGGGTAAGATTAATGTTTTAGGAGATCCTTCTGTTATCCATCATATTGAAGAAGGAATTCTCCCTTTGACAGATGCTGACAAAAGCTATAGCCTTTTGGTCAAAGTGAGAAGACACCAAAGGAGGAAGTTATACTCTCTATGCCATTAGGCAATGCAAGTGACGTATAAGCTCCATAATCACCTCTAGATTAATTGGGGTTAGAGTTGGTTAATCCGTTGGGTAAGGATGTTAAGGATGGTTTTTAACCAAAATGGAAAAGGAACTGCAAAGATAAGCAACCTCAGTTATTCACGGGCAAAAAGGAAATAGAAGGCTGAAATATGTTTTTATTTAAGCTTCGAAGTTGGCTTTTGTTTTGGATATTGCAGGATAGTAGTTTTGAGCTTCTTTTCAATTTAGAATCATCCTCTTGATGCAGAAGTTATTTTAACTATGTTTTCTAGTTAGCATTTGGGGCAGTTGTGGTGAGCTCCTTTTCAGTCTTGTCATATGGCTCGGTATTGTTCTGCGGTTTCTTATGTGGGTTATATCTTTTTGTTCTCTTTCAGCTTTGTGGTTTCCTTTGGAGGATTTTTATCCTTTCCTATTTTTTCCTTCCACTTTCATAGTATTTATTTTTCTATCCAAAAAACAATCTGAGAATACTGAGGACAATATACTCTCATAGAAACAACTTAGAATAGTTTTGCAAGTCAAAGGATGAAGTAAAAAGAGCATATCTATGTTTGCAGCTAACCTTCTTACATGGCCTTTTACCGTACAATGTTTACCCCCCCAAAAAAAAAAACCCAACAAAGAAATAGAAGACAAAAAAATTACATCTCATTGTGTGATAATGAATTAGTAATCATAAAAATCTTCCAACAAACATTTACAGAGAGTTATCTTGTTTGAACAGAATTACTTCCCAAATTTAATATATGGAAAAGACTTCCAAACTTCAATCAGGACAACCAACTGAACCATGTTGAAGTTTTTATAAGAAAACAAAGAGTGATCCATCATACTTGCTTTTATCCATATGCAAATAGTAATCAGAAAAGGGAACATGAGCACTAGTTTATGAAAATATCCACCAAAGAAGAACTAACGTACATGATAGAACATGAACAATAGTTTATCTAGTCATCAGTGACCTATTATCAAAACAAAGGTGGGGAATTCAAACTTTTAAATGTTAGAGCCAGAGTTCAGCAGGATTTTTATTAATGATCATCTCATGATCACAAAGGTCCATCAAGCTCTGTTTGCTATATCACTGACTTTAAACCTCACGAAATTCTCTGAAACGTGAGGCTCTAATAAACAGTGAACCAAGATATTGAGAATGTTCTGAGGTACAGAAAAATGGAGAATTTTCTGTGGTACCGAAAGCTCTTCCAACTACTAACCTTTTGTAATTAATGATTAATAGGAATTACAAAAGAATTATTGTTTGCATTCTTTCAACGATTGTATTATGTATGCCCCATGGTAAACCAAATGGTTCCACAGTGTTCCTATTCAACTATTCTAACAAAGTAATCACCAAAACAATATGAAAGTCCATTTCTGAAGATATATAGTTATCTTGCACATTCGCATTATCAAGAAAAATAAAAAGGCAAACAATTAATAGGCCACATCTCAAGTTCTTACCCCTCCCAAATCTTTTTCCTTCAAGATCCATCTTTCAGATTACCTCAAAAAATGCTGCTCAAATGCATCAACCAACTATCTAACAAATGCATCCACCACCCGCAGGAAGTTACCGCCTGAAAATATGAACAACTGAGGAAGTTTCTCAGCAAAGAAGTTGTACAATCTCAACAAAATCTGGGACTACAGTATCATATCTAACACATACACGATATATCTTGGAAGATGTAAAAGCATGCATCAAATTACCTCAAACAATAAACCCATCTGAGAAATGGCCTTTCCCACCAAACAAAAATTCTACACTAGTACCACATTGCATGATTATCTAATAAAATTGAAAACTTTACACGTTCCTAGTGAATTTAAATCAAGGGTCAACTGAAGTTAATCCAATCAAATACACTTGGCCAAACAAAACACTGAAAATGAATAAGAGAAAATACCTGAGAACAGAGCAGAGATAGGGATTGGGTAATTTAAGGTTATTGTTTGCAAATTTTGAACCAAGACAAGATTTTGATATGGGAACACAAGAAAAATTACCCAGTTCTTCCTTTTGTATCTTTTAATTAAAAAAAAAAAAATTGTGTGAAGGAAGAAAGACAACGGCGACTAAGAAGGAAACCGGGACCTGCTCGGAGAAATTGGCTTAGCTGTTTCTTAGGTATAATCGGGTTGGTTTGTTGGTTAGGGTTATATAGAAAAGCAAATTTTTTTTTTTTTTTTTATAATAAGAAAAGCAAATTTTGTTTATGATGATATACGAAATACGAGAAGGTTATCCTTTCCGCCAAAGAATTTTACCATATTTAAATAGGAAAAATATTTGTGTTTTTAAATAAAATAACTTATATTATTTCACTTTCATAAAGATATGAAACTCACATTTTTATATTTTTTTGTCCACTTTCTTTTCTCTTTTATCTATCTCTTTCTCTCACTTAAAATGACACAACGTTATATCCTTTAAAATGATACACACTTTTACATATTTATAAAAGGTAAAACTAATCTCATGTTACATAAGAAATTGTATTTTATGTTGTGAAATAAAATTGAGGAGGGTCCCATTTTGATTTTTTTATTTTTTATTTTTTTGTGGGACCCACCTTGATTTTGTTTCGCACCATAAAATACACTATCTTATGTAACATAAGATTAATTTTACCCATTTATAAATTAGGGTTAGTTACTATTAACTAATTTTACTGTTAGATCGATTATATTGATCTAATGGTTATATTTATTTTCATTTTGGTATAGTTATGATTCTCCATATTTAATATGAAAGCATTAAATATAAGAAATTATAACCATACAAAGATGAAAATAAATATAAAGTATTAAATATTAGAAATCATAACCATACAAATATGGAAATAAACATAACCGTTGGATCACCGTAATCGATCTAACGGTGAAATTGATTAGTAATAATATTGGTAGTAACCCTAATTGGTTGTTACAATATCCTACCGTATTTACCATCAATTTAATCACATCACAATTAAATCTAATTCTTCACAATCAATCTTTAAAGAGATATATTGGACTGAGATTTTAAAAGATTTTGATGAATTATTTTTAGATAAAAAAAATACATTGGTATTTAATTAGGATGTTAAAAGATTGAAAAAAATCATGAGATTTAAGATTTTAAAATATTATTTTAAAATTCATACAAATCCGGTGGTATTCAATCAGTATTTTAAACAAAAGAAAAACAATCTTGTGCTATACAAAAATATGAGGATTTTAGTGGATTTTCTATTGGTATGAATTTCGTGAGACTGTTTAGCAAGAAATATAAATATGAGGTCTCTTGTCTCTCTTATAATCTAACCCTGACCCTTAGGATTTCTTGAGATTTTTATATTGTAGTGTCTTCTTCTTTTGGTGGGTCGACCCGCTCAAAATCGGGTTTCGACATGGAGCTTCGTCAAGGTTCAAAAACAACAAATTTTTTAGTGATTTTCATTATAAAATTACCCAGAAGTAACAACCTAACTAGATTTTAATATAATCTATCTCAAAAATAGTAAATTTGTTAGCGATTTTTTAGAGTTTTTGGAAGTTTAAAAAATAATTTTTCAAGTTATGAGTCGTGATTTTTGAAGGCACAACAATGTGTGATTTTTGTATTAAAAATAACGTAAAAAAGTGGAAAAACAATAGAGGAACAAAAAATCCCAAACCAACTTTCATTTTACATTAATGAAACAAAGTCGATTTAAAGAAAAATTGAAACTTTCATAATATGAATCTATGTTTCATAATAATACACTCGTGAACGAAATTCCTTCGCTATAGGAAATGATTTCAAACAATTTTTGTGTCAATAGATCAGTAAAAACTTGTTTTTCAAAAGCCCCAAAGCAATTTGAGGTTTCAATGTATCGATTGAAAATAATTTAAATTTTTTTTAAACTTTCATGTAATAAAATTCAGAAATTTAGATTCAAAATTTTCTTAGAATACTTAATGAAAGCATGCATGTGATATATGGTTGAAAACTCTCATCACGTAGAACAAAAACCCAAAGGTTTCCAAGATCAATTGCAAAATATTTCAAATAAAATTTTATCATAAACTTTAGGTTTTATATACAAATTTTGAATCATTTTAATAAATAAAAAAATTATGGATCTTATAATCATATGTGCATAGCTCTGATATCAAATTAAGAAGATAAGTTTCAACACATTGGTCAAACCCAAGAGCAGGAACGAAAAGATGTTAATGCGTGGAGGGCTAATATAGATATGTTGAGAGATGCTGCTTAGTAAGATATTAAGTGGCATGAAATTACTAATTGAGAAAATTATATTAGGTTTTATTTTATTTTTTATTAATATCATTACATTTCTTTGTTTTTTATTGACTCTTGTAATTTTGATTGCTTGTTAAAAATTCATATGATTTTTTAAAATCTTATAAATTTATATTGTCCTTTCAAATCTTATTAATTCTAGGGAAAACTTCATTTTCACCCATTGTGGTTTTGTGATTTATCATTTGACCCCCGTGATTTTAAACATATCACTTACACTCACTGTGCTGAAATAATTTATCATTTAACCCTCTATGGTTTAAAATTTTTACTTAGACCCCTTGTGGTTACAAATTTTTTCACTTAAACCCCTTGTAGTTTAAAAAATAAACATTTTAAAAACATATTTCAAATAAATTTTCTCTCTTTTTTATTTTATATCCTCATGTATTGCATTTAGGGTTTGAAATATATTTTAAGTTATCTATTCTGAAATTAATTTATAAATTATCTTAATTTTTTTATTTTAAAAATATATTTGAAATTAAAAAGATTATTTAAGATGAAATTAAAATATATTATTTATGATAAATTAAATATGTACTATCAAAATAAGATATTTACTTTCGTTAAATAGATAAAATAAAAATATATGATTTGAATTTATTTTCTTGATAAAAATAAGTGAATTTTTTTTAGAATTTGTTTTTAGTTTTTAAACCTTAAATGCTTTAGGTGAGGATATAAAATAAAAAAGAGGGAAAATTTATTTTCCTCTTATTTATTTTTTTAAATTTTTATTTTTAAACCACAAGGGTCTAAGTGAAAATATTTTTAACCATAAGGAGTCTAAGTGAAAATATGAAACCACGGGTGGTTAAATGATAAATTATTTAAGCGCAATGAATTTAAGTGATAAGTTTAAAACCACGGGGTCAAATGATAAATCACAAAACCACAATGGGTGAAAATGAAGTTTTCCCTTAATTTTATTAAAATACTTTAAGATCTAATCTTATAAAATTTTGATTGTAATAAAAATCTTTTAGAGTCACTTCAATTATATATAGTCTTTTAAAATTCATAAGATTTTTTATCAAAAAATAATCTTTTAAAATCATAATCCAATACATTCCCTAAAATCCTATTTTTTACGATTTTATTCTCTCTCACCTTTACTTCTCTTTAGGTTTGACAATACTCTATCTAGTTCTTTCAATTGAGAGCGGGAATTACATGTCCAACTAATGGGAAAATTGGATTGAGAAAGTGAAAGTGAAGATTGGTGGGTTTCAAAACTTGCAAGGAAACCATAACTGATTGGCATAAAAGTTTAGGGGAGCGATTTCATTTGTACCAAATAGACGAAACAAATTTTGGATAGAGGGAAGGCTTCTTATAGAGTAACGAGCGAGCAGGAACTGGACAAGCGCAGTTTAGAATTGGAACACTAGTGGCGGCTAATGTGCGCGGTACATGGTCGATGTTTATGGCTAGAACTTGGGCTTTTTAATCCTTTTGCACCTCATTAATTAATTAATAATCGTTTTGCCCCTTATTCAAAACTATCTACCAATCTGCTCTTCTTTAATTGATTAACTTGAATATTTAATCGATTAACTTGAATATTTAATCGATTAAATGGCCAAAATCGGTAAAAATAGTTGACTCGAGATTTAATCGATTAAATCTCCTTGAGTTTGAAAAAATCTCATACCATGTTCATGGAGCAACCTAAGAAAACAACATCAACTAATTTAGTGACTTGGATGGTCAACAAGGGCATGGTATGACCATCATGGTTGCATAGATAAATCTAGCACCGGGACTGTTACTGCAATCAACGAAAATAGCATGAGAGGGAGGGTCTTGGGTTTTGTGGGTAACTAGGCGACCAACCAATGGATAGAAATGGATAAGGGCGAGAGAAAGGGAGTGCTTGAGCTTATCCAACAGATTATGGATGAAATCTTGTTGGTTATGTGGTGATGAAGGTTTCTTGAAGAGGAGGCCCTTCTAGATGTAGTGTGTAGACAGCATAAGAATATCCCAAGGTGCTAAATAGCAGATTCCGTTTGATTCTTCATTGGGGCTCTGCAGCTTGATGAAGCATTCTGAAACGTGTTGAACTACAAGAAAAATTTCAGGCCCAGTGGCTACCACCAGCCATCAAGACGTGAATTTGTTGGTTTCAAACTCAAGGAGATTTAATCGATTAAATAGGGAGATTTAATCGATTAAATCTCTGAGTCAACCATTTTTGTCAGTTTTGATCATTTAATCGATTAAATATTCAATTTAATCGATTAAAGAGGGACAAATTGGTAGATAATTTTGAATAAGGGGCAAAATGGTTATTAATTAATTAATGAAGAGTAAAGAGGTCAAAAAACCCTAGAACTTGCGCATTCGAGGTTAAAGTCTACAAAGAAACCCCCAAGGGTAGCTCAGTTGGCAGCTGAGCTCCCATGGGATTACTTGGTGCAGGGATCAAACCCTGTCTCAAGCAGTTTCTTGGAAAATCTTTGGGGGCCAGAGGATAAGCCAAAAAATCTTCGGTTGGATATTAGTCTCGTCCTTTCTCCGGTTGCAAAGCTTAGTGCACCCACTGTTACAATGAGGGGCTAGCCCAAACAGGCCGTACCCCGAGGGCATGGTGCCCGGAGAAAGTTGAATGGGAATACCTCCTGGCAATGTACCAAAAAAAAAAAAAAGTCTACAAAGAAAATAAAAGAATTTTTAAAGGAATTCAGCTATTTATTATTTTTCTTGTACGATGAAAACGAGAATTCATTTCTATAACACAAATTCTGGTCATCCTGTTCCTTCCACTAAAATATGGGAAACTCATGATGCTATATTGCTCATAAAATAAAAACAAAAATATCGTTGTAATCCAAAACGTCGTTCACTACTTGGTCATGTGCAATTGGAAGACATAGAGAGAGAGGATGGAAAGAGTGTTATCAATCTAGAGAAAATGTGAAAGTGAGAGAGAATAAAAGGATAAAAAATTTAAGATTATAAAGATTGATTGTGAGCTATTAGATTTAATTCTGATCCGACGGTGATTAAATTAGTTGTAAAGATAGTAAATTTCTTTAGTAATAAGTATGACCCTCCCTATTAAATATTACACTTTTTTTCATATTAATGTTAACATGTAATACCGTATCCAAATAAATTTAAAATTAAATAAAGGAAAAACAAATAATCAATTAGAAAATGTAGATATGTATAAAATAAAAAATATATATAAAAAAATTGAGTAGAAAAATATTTTTAGAAAAAAATCTATTTATCATTTTTGTTATTATTAAATTAAAATTAAATTATTAATAATATAATAACATTAATAATAGTCAATGATTTAATTTTAATCTAATGATAAAATAATTATAAGAAATTATAAGTAAAAATTTATAAATATTTATTTAAAAAAATTGTAAATATAATCTGCCTCGAAGAATTTACCCTTCATTTTTTATACTAATCTTTTTCCTATGGTTATTAGTTTTAGTTTATTACTTTTTCACTTATAAATTTTTATGTCGTAATGAATTTTTTTTATCCGAAACTATGGGAATTTTTGAAGAATACACCTATTAATATTTGATTTACAAATAAGATTGAATTAATGTTTAAATGATAATTAATGATCATTAATGTTGTCTTTTTTAAAAAAATTATAAATTTTTATATTTAGTAAACTAAAATAGACATTTATTTAATAAAAAATTATATAAAATTCGTCTGTTTGATTTAGCTTGCTTGAAATGAAAAAAAATTATTAATGCAAATCAATCCAATTTAATTTGATTGGCATCTTTTTAAAATATTACTAAAATCATATTTTTTTATATCGATTTTTTTTGAAACATGATTAAAAAATTATACAATTTTGTTCTGGATCAAAAAATATAAATTTTGAGCGATAAAATTAAATTGGGTCCATCAATTAAAAAAAAATATAAAAACTTGAATTAAAAGTTCAAATTAGACTGAACGAAAAAAATCTCACCTAAAGTTTATATTTTGTTAATTAATCAGGTCAACATAGTTAGATTATTTTCACCTAATCCAATAAACATTATAGATAAACATACGGTTTAAGGTTAACACATATTTATTGAAGGCTTTAATGTTTCTACAGTGAATATAGATAAGTTATCTACATTTGCTCCCAAAACAACGTCGTTTTGAATTAAAAAATTAAAAAATTATAATGAAAAAGACTATTATAACTCTGAAATAAATTATAATTACAAAAATACCTTGATTTTCGCCTCAAAACGATATCATTTTGAGTTCAATGTAAATAATTTATCTACATTGACTGTAGAAAAAACGAATCCATTTATTGAATAATTTGTACAATATATTCATTTTAGAAGCTATATGTATGTGGTTATTCTTATTCCAATACAACAACCCAAAAGTAATAGGAGTGGTAATCTCATATTAAAATTTCACTTGTTACTTTACCAAAAAAAAATAAAAATTCACTTGTTATAGTAATGTTAAAATTATGTCTAATTCTTTTTTTTAGACAGTAAATAAGCTGAATCCAATTAAAATTTGTCAATATTAATGAAGATAGATACTCTCACCAAAATTTGATATTACCAAATCTTGTAAAAATTTAATACGAGCGCGTCCACTCATTTTAGGTGACTTGGGAAAGTGACAGAGGGTCGTGGCAAAACTTTTCTATATTTATAATTAACATTTTTGTTTTTTACTGTAAAAAAATATTTATCTGCTACATTCATATAAAAGTGAGTGAGTTTTATTATTTGTCTCTCTCTTATATTTATAATGAGACTTATTTATTTTTATGTGAGTGTGATAAAAAAAATATTTTCTTTATTAAAAGCATAAATGTTTTTTCCCATGATGTAAAGATGGGATTTGGATTTCTTGTTTTCCAATAAATCTAAATTTGTTAGTACCATTGAATTAAAAAAAAGAAAAATAGATTTCTTGTCCTCCAATAAATCTAAATATGTTAGTTTCATTTAATTTAAAAATAAAATAAAAAAGAGCACTTTTGTAAAAGTGGGAAGATATTGAAACACTTCCATATCATTGAAAACAATGTCCATTAATGAAAATCACAGAGATTTTTAAATTCAATATTAGAAACAACGAATCTCTTCCGAGTGTGTGTATATAATAGGGGTGTGGGGAAACCATATAGCCCGTGTCTTTTACAATAACCCCTCTTTCTAATCTTTGTGTTTTTTTTTTCTTTTAGTAATAATGGGTCGTCGAAAAATTGAGATTGCAATGGTGAAGGACACCAACACGAGGCAAGTCACATTCTCAAAGCGTCGAACAGGTCTATTCAAGAAAGCAAATGAGTTATCCATTTTGTGTGGGGCTGAGGTTGCTATTGTTGTATTCTCTCCTGGGAATAAGCCTTACTCATTTGGGCACCCAGGTGTTGATGCTGTTGCGAACAATTTTTTTCAACAAGAGCCCAAATCAGGTGATGTGATCCAAGGCAACCCCTCTTCCGAAGGTGTTAACTTGGGCAAGCTAAACAAAGAATATGCTGATGTGATGGACTTGGTGCGTGAGGATGAGAATAAGGGTGAGGTCCAAAAGGCCTTAGATAAATACCAACTGACCCAACTCTCTGAGCTTCAAGAATTTTCTAGTTCACTAAAAGAGTTCAAGTATCATGTAAACAAGCGTCTTAGTGAATTTGAAGCATTGGAATCTATGCTACTCCTTGCACAAGAGCCTGTGGAGGGGATAGAAAATCTTGTTGCCAAAAAGAAAAGAAGAAAAAATTGATGCACTTTAGCATGAAAACAAGTGTATTACCTTGAGCATGAGCATGTATTTTCTTCACCTTCAAATTGTGCTGTCATTTTTCTCTTAGTTTGAGCAAGAAGGGAGAGAAAATAGTGAGATGAATAAAGTATTTTATTGTGTTTTGAATTTTAGAAATTTATGCAAAAATAAACATAATCTCTTTCCAGTGAAAATTAGAAATGTTATGATAAATATTTCTCGTTTCAAATAGTTTTGTTATTTTCGACCCCAAAATTTTTACAACATTGTTACTCCGGTCAATAATGTCTTATTATTTATATTAAGTCATTTAAACTTTGAAATCCTTACTATTAGAAAAGTCTCAATTTTTTACGGAAATTATCGACGAAAAATATTGCGTCAAAATCAATGACATAATTTTTTACCGACAACGTATTCCGTCGAAAGTTTTCGACAGAAAATGACATTTTTTTAGTTGTGCTTGTTGTCCTTTCCCATCCTATTTTAGGTGAAAAGTAAATAATAATAATGATGAATAAATTATTTTATTATGTTGAACGTGATAAATTTGAGAGTAGGTAAAAAAAAAAAATTTAAGTAAAGAATTGAAATATTATGATAAATATTTTTCTAGTTTTGAAGAGTTTGGATATTTGCACACCAAAATCTTTAGACTTGGTACAATAATTAATAATGTCTTATTGTTGATCAACAAGGAGCACTGAATGGTTAAATGATTCTAGAATGTTATTAACTTTTAGAAAAAATTGTTAATCAATCCGCACGTGTTAATAACTAATAATTAGAATATCATTAACGAGTATAACAATAATGTAAGATTCGGGTACGAAAAAATCTTTTTTCTTTTTCAATTAAGGAAAGAACTTCTCTAACAAAACTTGACATGATAAATAAAAGTAAGGGAAATTTTTAATTTTTATATATATCTACCTCTTAAGTAATTATGTGTCAATCCAAAAAAGTTTTGTCTTGAAGAACCTTTAAAGTAAGGGTGTTCGCGATCTGAATTGGATCAGTTTTAAAGCAAAAATCATTTGATCCAATCCCTTTGTTTGAATTTTTTTTCAAAATCGATCCAATTTTATTTGATTTGTATTGGATCGGTTTTTGATTTTTCGAAAAACCTAAAATTTCAGCCATACAAATCACTAGCTATATTAAAATGAAACCATACAAAGTTATAAACCACTTAAAAATTCGAGTTTTCAAATTAAAACAAGTCTTAAAACTCATGACGAGTTAAAATAAAGTAATACACAATAAAAAACTAAAACAAGGTAGTTTGCTATCAATAATATGCAAGATTCCAAGTCTACAAAACAACTAGATTCTAAGTCACGATCTTTCTCTTCCATACTTCCCGGGCGGCAACAGCGCGGTGGAGGAAGCCTCTGGATTTTGGAATGAAAGTGGGCTCTTCAGACAGAGAAGGAGAGACATAGGTGGGTGTGAATTTAGGAATAGTCTATACTCTAGGATTTAAAACTAAGGGAGTAATCGAGTAAAGGTTATTGAATTAGGAAAAAAGGCATTAGTGGAATTTCAAAAATAATATATACATAATACATTGGATTGATTTTTACCAATCAAACCGAAAACCAATCCATTAAAATATGTGATTTTTTTTCGGTTCTCGATTAATTCGTTTATCGAATTTTTGGTTCGGTCATCGCAGGTTGATGAACACCCCTACCTTAAAGCACATACTTACATCCCGTTACATTTGAGCGAATTGTTAATTCCAGATTTCAGAAAAGAAAAAAGTAAAAGATTATTCAGAATAAAAGAAAAATACTCACAACCAAAGTTTATTGTTGTATATATATTTGGCTAAAATATGAATTAGCCCCTTGAACTTTGACCATGTTTCAAATTACCACCATGTGCTTTTAATTGTTTCAATTAACCCCCTATACTTTGTGATTGTATCAAATCAACATCTCTGTTAAAATTTTCACAAACAGTGTTAAATCTCATATGCCCAAACCCTAATTGGTTCAAGTAAAGGAGAAATAGGAATAAAAAGGGAGAAACTAAGAAATCAGAGATCGAGAACTTAGAGAAATAAGAGTGAAGAACAATGGAAAGTGGAAATCATGGCATTGATTGGGTTCGTTCGCCCGACAATTGTGTTCTAGCTATATGTTAGGCTCTTGCAACTTCAAACTTGACTGAGTTCTTTGAGTTCAACTAATCTGATCAAGATAAAGAAAATTTTCATGAAGACCTTGAGAAGTGGGTGTGTGATCTACAAGACCAAACCCATCAATCTCTTCAAGTAGATTTTCCTAAACTTCTGGATGCCTAGCAACCAAATATACAATGGAAGACAAAGTGACGGACATTGTTGCTGACCCAACAAGTAGATGCTCATAAGTAATAGCAGTAATGTAATTAGGGGTGAAGACTTTTTCTGATAAGGCTTTTGATTTTTTGGGATTTAGAATAACTGAAGAGAAATCCTTTGAAGTCTAGTTTCTATTTTTCATTATATTATCCATAATCTCATCAAGACAACCACTTCGTTTCTGATTAGTGTGCTCAATAAGTCCATCTTAAAAGGCTCATGCCCCAAAGATAACACAATTCGCCAAGCGAATGAACCCGATCATCGTCACAATTTCCATTTTCCATTGTTCTTCGCTCTTATTTCTTTAGGTTCTTGATTTCTGATTTCTTAGCTTCCCCTTTTACTTCCTGTTTCTCCTTTGCTTGAACTAATTGGGGTTTGGGCATGTGAGATTTAACACCGTTTGTGAAAATTTTAACAGAGATGTTGATTTGATTCAATCACAAAGTATAAGGGGTTAATTGAAACAATTAAAAGCACAAGGTGAAGTTTAAGGATGCAAGTTATATTTTAGCCTATATTTTTTTGGATTCCTCATTTTTTAAAAAGGAAGTTATTTTAGATATACTAGGAAGTCATAGAGCATTTACACAACTTTCATATTAAATTAAGTATAAAAGATTATAAAGATTTAAACATGCACCTGTGCCAATTTAAACCCCATCATGGCTATCTACCAAAAAAAAAAAAAAAGAACCCCATTATGGCCCATACTATTTTTACTTAGCATTTTGGGCAGCTGCGGTGAGCCCTTTTTCAGTTTTGTCATATGGTTGTTTTTATTTTGTGGTTTCTTATTTGGATTTTTTCTGTTTGTTCTCTTTCAGCATTGTGATTTCCTTGGGAGGATTTTGTTTATCCTCTTTCCAGTTTGATAATATTTATTTTTGGGATTAATGTTTCTGCTTTTACTGCAGAAAAAATTTATTTGCCGCATTCATATAAAAGAGAGTGGGCCCCATTTTAAAGAGAAGAGAGAAAAATGATTAGTGGGACCCACTCACTTTTATGTGAGTGTGACAAATAAAATTTTTCTTTAACAAAAATAGAAATATATTTTTTCCATATTTTTGTATCCAAAAAATAATACGAGAATACTAAAGATAATACACTCTCATGGAAACAAGTTAAAATAGTTTTGCAAGTCAAAGGATTCATCAAGACTCAAGAGCATATCTATGGTTTCACCTAACCATCTCATTCTATTTTTTACAATGTTTACCCCTCTCTTACTAGAAAAAACGTGGCATCTTTCTATTGTAAATTTGTGAAAATATATTTTGAATGAATGAGAGGTTTGTAGATACAATATACGTTTTGATGATTACATAGTGGCAACAACAAAAAGAGAAGAGTATTAATCAAGAGCAAAAAGCATCAATCATATGTGGATATTGAAGATGTATGATGTAGCCACACAAGAAGAGTAATGACATGTCAAAGTTGCTAGATCATTGGATCAAGAGCAACAAGGAATAATTAGAATAGCAACACCAAGATTAAAGACAACAAATCATAGACAACATCTAAGAGAATCACAATATCATAATCATGGTGAAAAATGATCAAAACCAACAAAGTGTCAAGCATTGTCATATCCAACAAGTCAAAGCATCAAACTCAAGTCAAGTTCCAAGACACAAGACATGAAACTAAGTCTAAAATCATGTTTAGAATATATCTTTAGGACTTAGAATATATGTGAGGGTATATGGTAGATTGCATTGCATGAGCTCAAAGTTTTTATCAAAGTAAACGTGTTTTTCGAATTGCATAATCATAACTTTTATATACTTGAAAGAAATTTGAAAAACCCATGAAAAAGGTCCTTAACATGTTTTATAAATTCAAAACAAATTTATCAAGTCAAGATCTTTCATAAAAAATGGTTGGAAGCAAGCTAGAACACATTTGAACTTAAAATTTGTTGTATAATTTTGCTGCTTCCTTCCATGCAATTTTTCGTATCCAAGATGATGGATTTGGATTTTGTGTTCTTCATAAAATTTGTAGATCTTTTTTTTATGTTTCCAACGAGACTAAGATCACATCAATCCAACAAGTATAACTCAAGTTATGCCCAAAATATGAAACAGTATTCTTGTTGTGAAGTTGGGAATCAATTACCAGCGTATGGTAATTGATAGTCCTCAAGAGTTGAGACCCATTAAGTGCAAATTGTTCCACAAAACCCATGTTTTGGTTATAAATCATGCCCTTTAACCTTCTTCTTTTCATATAGAGCAACTTTTTTGAATAGTGGACCAGAGCAATGCCGAAAGTGAGAATTAAGGTAAACCTGGAGCAATTTAACATTATCTTTTTCACATATGACTATTGGGTTAGTTTGTTTTGTTCAGGATACCTAAGGCCCATCAAAAGGAACCACAAAATAAAGAGAGAAGAATGAGTGTTGCGCAGAAAGGAAAAAGAAGTCTGCTATAGTACAACAGCAGTCAAAAGAAGCAATGGGGAGCTGCCACGTCAGCTACAGCAGAGAAGGTGGAGGTGCTGCCTCTGCTACAGTACGAAAACAAAGAAGCTGAGCAATGGGGAGCCGCCACGTCAGCTACAGCAAAAGGAGTGGAGGTGCCACCCTGAATCCGATACTCCTACTCACAAAGGGAGCCAAAAGCAAGGGGGACCA